AGTGCGGCATCGCGCCATCGACAGCTCTGAACTGCGCCTCACCACTGACCGGGAAGGCCGCCAAGTGGACCAGCACCGGTCGCACATTGTGGCAGCAGTCAGCAGTGCATGTCTGATAGCTAGAGCAGCAGCGTCAGGGTCTCGCAGGGTCGGATCGTGTCAAGCCTCTCGCCCGGCCGGCCGCGTGCAGACGTCGGCCTGTCTGCTGTCTGGAGTGATCTGTCGGCGGTCAGTACGACCGATCAGGTCGGAGTTTCTCATGCTTGGAGGGTCTGTATGTACTCCTCGAGATCTCTCCAAATCTGCCCTCTAATCAACCGTAATCATTCGGGAAGTTGGTGCTAACGGAGACTAACGGTCGGAGCCGGAGCCCCGTTTCCGCACTGCTGCGCGGCGCACGGTGCCTCCGGGGGCCCCCGCGCCCCCCCCAGCCAGTCTCCGGTGTGAGCAGGTAGGTAGGTAGAAAGGTGAAGAACAGTCAGGCTCGGACTGGACACCAGCGCGGTATGGGTGGACGCGGGACAGATGATGACGACACGCACGAGCGACCGCGACACACAGTCATCTTATTACTAACATCTTAAAATCCCTGTGTGGTGGCGGCGTGCCGTCCTCCCATCCCTCCCTTGGGTTGTCTGTTTTCTTTCTTTTCTTTACTAAATAAAACGAACACACCAAACAAGGGGTGTGGGAGAAGGACAGGGTCCCCACCACCCACCTGTGCGCGAGCAGGATCTTGGAAGGACGATCAGGGACACGCCAGTGCGTGCCAGCCCGCGGAAATTCTTTTCCAAACAAAAAATCTTTTTGAGGCTGAGCTCTAAAATTCTTTTTGCTCGAAAAAATTCTTTTTCCCTGCGGTTGAGCAGGCAGAATTCCTACTGTACCTCTCCGCCTCACATGGCCGACTGTTCCGCAGCGCACGACACGGAACGGCCGTGCACGACCGGCGAAGAGGGCTCGCGCGAGGAGGCGCGCCTCCGCTGCTGCTACCTGCTCCGCTCCCTCAGCCCCTCCGCCCGCGGCCGCACATACATCGGCTTCACCGTCGACCCACAGCGGCGGCTGCGCCAGCACAACGGCGAGGTCAAGGGCGGTGCGCGCAAGACCTCACGGCAGAGGCCGTGGGAGATGCTAGGGTTTGTGCACGGCTTCAGCGACAACGTGTCGGCGCTGCAGTTCGAGTGGGCGTGGCAGCACCCCACCGTCTCGCTCGCCGTGCGGGAGCACGTGGCGGATCTCGGGCTGCGACGCCGCTCGTACTCCGCCGCCAAGCTGCTGCAGGTGCTCGCCGTGATGGTCCGCCTCGAGGAGTGGTGCTCTCACCCGCTCGGCATCCACCTGCTGCGCGGCGAGTGGGCGCCTCGCCCTGGAGCGCCGCTGGGAGGAGGGCCGCCGCCGCCGCCATCCTCCGACTACGACGCGCTCGAGCGGCAGCTGCAGCGCGAAGGGCGCGCAGCCGCGGGCCTCACCAGAGGCTGCCCGTGGACGGCGGGGCTCGAGCCGCCGCGGCGCGGCGCCCGGCGGCGGCGAGCCGAAGGCGCTGCTCGGGCTGGAGGCGCCGCGCGGCCGGCGGCTGCTCCGTCGGAGCCGTCGGAGGGACGGGGCGCGAATACTGCCCCCGCGGAGGCGGACGGCGCGGGAGGAGCGAGGAGGAGGAGGCAGGGGACGAGGGCGGTCGCCCGTGACGACGACGACGACGACGACGAGGAGGAGTGGGAGGTCGGGGAGGGGAGGTCCGAGGAGGGGCTTGAGGAGTGGGTTGCCGCCTCGAGGTGGCTGCTGGCAGCGGGCGGCGGGCGGGACGACGACGCGATCTGGCTCTCCTCGAGCGCCTCCGCGGCGGGGAGCGGGCTCGAGGGCGGCTTTGAGACGGGCGAGTCGTCCGGCGGCGAGGAGGCGGCGGGCAGAGGGGAGGAGGCGGGCGGCGGAGCCGGGGCGGAGGCCTCGCTCGCTCCTCCGCCCCCTCCCCCTCCTCTCCCTACCGCTCTCTCTGCCGCGTGCGCCACCAGCGACTCCGAGGCTACCATCGCGGACTCGGACTCGGAAGCTGACTCGGAGGCGACGATTGCAGACGCCCCCTCGGAGGACGAGCCGGAGGCGGGCGCCGATGAGGGCTCCGCTCACGGCCTGGTCTTGCCTCCCCTGCGGCGGCTCTCCATCGACGGGGCGTCGCCACCGTCTCACGTGGCTCGATCGAAACGGCTCTCCGCGCCCTACCCTATGGCGGTGAGCAGCGACGAGGACGAGAACGCGGGGCGCAACGGCCGACCAAGCACGCCGCCGCTCGGGGAGAGGGTCCGGCGGCGTGCCTCCTCCAACGGGCGCCGCGTGCGCCGGGCCGGAGAAGTCTCTTGCCTTGATAGCGACGCGCCGTCGTGAGCGGGACAGCGGGACGATCGAATTCCCGGATCCGCGCGCCGGTTGCGGCTTGCGCCATGAAGCGCGCCCCTTTTGTGTGTGCGGCGTGCGCGGGGAATACAGTCGCAGTATACGATGTCCCAGCGCCGCGTGAGAGGTGAGACGTGTTGCGCGTGTTGCGTGTAGTAAGCTACCGAGATATACTGCACATCGTGTGGCATCTCCCACAGGAGCGCTCAACGGACACAAGATCAAGAAACGGTGGTTATTGCGGCGCACAGCGAGAATGGCATACCGCTCTCGTCCCGAAGAATATCCCCGCCGTTCGCGACGATCGGGGTTGGTCCGCTGTGCGGGCTCCGCTGACGTTGCGGATATGCGGTGCCGCCTACGACGACCGCGCATCCAACGCGCAGACCTCTCAGCGCAGCACAAGCTCAAGGCGACTCACAAACGGTACGCCAGCAGAGCGCTCAGCTCAGGCTGCGGCGCCCGGCCTGAGGCTATCGAACTCGACTTTGAGCGCGGCCTCGCGCTGCATCGCCTCGGTGTAGAGGGTCGTCACCGCCGACAGCTTGGCCTGCATCTTGACCGCGGCGCCGTGCTGCGCCTCGCGCTCCCCCTCCGCCTGCTGCGCACGCTCGAGCGCCGCGTCCAGCTCCGCCTGCGGTAAGGATCACGGACGTGTCGCGGACGTGTCATGGACGTGTCGTGGCTCGAGCGCCGCGTCCGCTCCGCCTGCAGCCGCTTCTGCTCCGAAGAGCGCGCGGGCGTGTCGGGCGCCTGCCGCACGGGCGACGGCGCGCCCATGGCGGCCGCCTTGAGCTCCTCTATCTCCGCGGCCTGCTCGTCCAGCGCCGCCTCCTGGCTGTCTATCTTCTCCTGCAGCTTGGCGATCAGGTCGTCCTTCTCGCGCAGCAGCGCCAGCGTCTCGAGCGCCTCATTCTGCTCGCCGCCCTGCCGGTAGTACGCGCCCGCCTCGGTGGCGAGCCTCGTCATCTCCGCCTCTCGGCTCTCCGTGCGCGGAGTCTCCGAGCTCGACGCCGTCTCGGCCTAGAAGGTTCCTAGAAGGTTCCTAGAAGGTTCCTAGAGTCTCCGAGCTCGACGCCGTCTCGGCCTCGACTGCCACAAGCGGCGGCGGAGGAGGCGGCGGCGGCGCAGAGGTCGACACCGTGACCGAAGCCTCCGCGACGGCGGGCAGCGGCGGCGCGGCCGCGTCGGCCGCGCCGCTGCGCCCCGAGGACGCGGCCTTCTTCTTCGCGATGTCGGCGAGGATGGCGGCCATCTCGGGCGGAACATTCTCCATCTCGAACGTGCCGTCCGCCGACACCTTGACGCCTCCGAGCTGCTGCATGTCGGTGGGCGGCGAGATCTCCATCGCGTACCTACGGGGGGGCGGCCAGAAGGTGCGGGGGAGGCTCCTCCGGCATGTCTGCGCGCGGCGAGGTCTCCATCGCGCGCCAGTACTGCTGCTCCTTCGACATGCCGGGCGGCTTCCGCTTTGCGAGCTGCGACGAAGAGGCGCCCTTGCGGCGCGCAAACATCTGCATCACGGCGCCCATCGCGCCGCCGCCCTCGCCGTCGGCGTCCACCCTGATCGCCGCCTTGGTCTTGTACTTTGGAAGCAGCTCCTCGTACTGCGCGATGGCGGCCGCCGCCCAAGGGTGCTGCCGCACGCCCGCGATGTCGATCCGCTTGCTGACGTCGACGGTGAGCAGCTGAGAGATGAGGTCCTTGGCGTCGGCGGAGACGTGCCGCCACCGCTCGTCCGGCTGGAAGGCGAACCGCCCCTTGACGACCTGCCGCAGCAGCGCGTCCACCTGCTTTGCGCGGAACGGCATCGTCTTGGAGAGCATCACCTGGCGGAAGAGGCGGCCTCGCGTCAGAGGGAGGAGGGAGGGCACTGGAGGGTGGTGCGGACCGCCGCCCGGAGCTGCGGGGCGGCCCGCACATAGAGTAGCACGCCCATCGACCACAGGTCGCACCCCTTGCCATATGGCTCGTCCGTCGGGTTGACCTCCCCGAAGCCCGTCACAACCTCGGGCGCGACGTACTGCGGCGTCCCGACCAGGCCGGTGAGCATCTGGTCGGGCGTGCAGGTGCAGGCGCCGCCGAAGTCGATGCACTTGATCTGCGGCGACCCCTTGGCGCTGAAGACCAGGTTCTCCGCCTGTCGTCCCGCGGGGAGGAGAGCTGAGCCTGCCACGGGGACGGCCAGCCGGGCGGCGGGGCCAGGGAGGGTACCGCACCTTGAGGTCGCGGTGCACCACGTTCCTCTCGTGCATGTACTCGACTGCGAGCGCAACCTGCGGATGCGACGGGCGGCGGTCACTCCCTCTCTGGCCGAGCAGCGGCTGGCAGCGGCAGGAGGTGGCGGTGTCGGTGTCGGTGGTGGCGGTGGTGGCGGCGGAGGCGGCGGTGGTGGCGGTGGTTGCGGCGGAGGCGGCGGTGGTGGTGGTGGCGGCGGCGGTGGTGGTGGCGGCCCGCGGCGCCTGCGCAAAGTAGACCTGCGCATCGACCTCCTTGAAGGGGCCCTTTGCGAGCAAGGCGTCGAAGAGCTCTCCGCCGCTGAGGCACTCCTGACCCCACAGGGCGGCGGGGAGGGCTCAGGGGAGCCGCTCGTCGAGAGAGAGTGCTCGCCTCGACTGGATTCCGAGGGCGGAGGGGCCGGCGAGCGGGGCTGGAGCGGAGAGGTGCGGCGGGCCTGCACGATGTAGACCGAGTTTGCGTCGTGCACCACCTCTCGTATGCCGACGATGTGAGGGTGGTCGAGCTGCCGCAGCAACAGGATCTCCATCCGGAGCGCATCAAAGAGCTCGTCGTCCTCGAGCTCCTTGATCTCGATCACCTTGATGGCGACCTGCCGGCGAGACGGCGCGCTGACTCACGCGAGCCGCTGCCGCGGGCGGCGTGCGAAGCGGACGCGCCTTCATGTGGTTCCTCTTGTGCGTCGCCTTGTAGACCGTCGCCTGCGCGCCGGCGCCAAGCTCCTCCTGGATCTTGTACCGCTGCGATATATCCTTGAGTGTGCTGTCCACAATGGAGGCCACGCGCTGCTCGAGATCCCACTGAAGGCGGGACGGGGAGGGCGGGCCGTCGGCAGGCGCAGCCAAGCAGCGTTGACGGTGGGTGGGTGAATGTCCATCGGCGGTCGCAAAGCTGGCTGCATGAGGTGCAGGAGTAGACTGGGGATAGGCGCGAGTAGGCAAACGGCCCTCTAGTACGCTTGCAGCGCGCCTGGCTCCAGTCGGCGACCGCCATCGGACGCGAGCGCTCGGAAAGTGGAAGGGATGGCGGCCGTCTCTCGCCGACGCGGACGCAGTTTTTTTTTGTCGCCCCGCCAATACGAGAACTGATGCAAATCTCTCTCTCTCTCTCTCTCTCTCTCTCTCTCTCTCTCTCTCTCTCTCTCTCTCTCTCTCTCTCTCTCTCTCTCTCTCTCTCTCTCTCTCTCCCCACACACACACACACACTCTCGCTGACTGATGCAGTGCTCAATTAAATATTCTTAGCTTCGCCCTTGCCTCCGAGAAGAAGATGGGGACAGAACCACACCAGTATCAGACCAGAGGGACTGCCCCCCTCCCCCACCTGCCCTGCTTACACAGGATAGCATGCCCCGAGAGCGGCGGCATTTGGCAGGGGTAACCTGGGAAGGAGGTTTGCTTCTGCTTTTTTTTTTTTTGCTATAGGGGGAATGTTCTCTCGGCGCCCATGGCCTTCTGAGGTTTCGTACTAATGACGTCCTTCTTGGCACTTCGGGCGTCGGTTGTGCGTATCTGTTGTGTCTAATTCCCCCGGTAATGTGTTACGGGTATCGGTCGCTGAGTGGACACTACAGTGGGTTGCGGGCATTAAGAAAACAGGATGCCGCGGCACGCCGCCGTTTCTATGCCTTTCCACAGCCCTCATCCACCCCGCGCCGTGGTTTCTTAGCTCCGGCCGGCACTCAAGCCAGCAGAGCCGGCGGGGCCCACCTCCGCCACGCTGTCCAGCAGCTGGGCGGCGCTCGCCATCTCGACCGCGTCGTCCTCCGGCGGAAGCTCCGCGTTCGCAGCTCCATCCAACCGCCGCCGCCGCGCCCTCATTCCCCAGAAGATCGAGGTGTGGGCGCCGGGGCAGTATAGACAGGGCAAGGCTCTCCGCGGCATTTGGATTTTCTTTTTCTCAGTGCGCCAGTCCGTCGCCCACCCTTGGGCGTCCGCCTCTTCCTGCGCCCGCGTCCAAAATTCTTTTTCTGTGTTAGTGCCAGTGCGAGCCAGTCCCGTGCCCAGTCCTGTGCCCAGTGTCGTGCGAGGGAGTTTTGTTGTAAAATTCTTTTTCTCGCGATGTCCACCCCGTCGCGCCGCTCGCGCCGCTCGCGCCGCCTCGCCTCGTCCTCCGCTGCGCCCTCGCCAAGCGCACCGCTGCCCGCCCGCCTCCTCGACCTCCCCACGGAGCTCCTCGCGCGCGCTCTCTCTCGCTGCGACCCCGCCGACATCGCTCGCGTCGCGGCCGTCTCGCTGCTCTTCCACGCCTCGCTTGCGCTGGAGGGCATCCGCTTGTGGGCGCAAGAGCGCGGCTTCGAGCTGCCGGCGCAGCCCGAGGGCGAGGGCTGCGCCGTGCGGTGGCTGTGCTTCGCTGCGCTGCTGTGCGAGTCCAACCCGCCGGCGAGGGCGGCGGCAGGCGCTCGGCACAGCCTCTTCATTGTCGGCGAGGGACGGCTCTCGTCGTGCGGCTATGCGCCGGATCACCGCCCAGGCCTCCTCGGGCACGGCGAGGGCGTGGCGCAGCTCAACACGCCGACCCGCCTCCCCTTTCCGCTGGGAGGCGAGCGCGCCCTGAGTGTGACGGCGGGATGGGCGCACAGCCTCGCCCTCACCACCAACGGCAGTGTGTGGAGCTGGGGCCGAGGAGAGGAAGGCCAGTTGGGCCACGGCAACCAGCAGAGGCAACTGCTGCCCGAGAAGATCGAGGCCTTGGCTGACCAGCGCGTCGTCGCTGTGTCGGCTGGAGGATTCCACAGCCTCGCCCTCACCGCCGACGGAGAGGTCTGGAGCTGGGGCGCAGGAAGCGACGGCCAACTGGGCCACGGCGACTGGCAGAACCAGCTGCTGCCCAAGAAGGTCGAGGCCTTTGCTGGCCAGCGCGTCGTCGCTGTGTCGGTGGGACATCGCCACAGCCTCGCCATCACCGCCGACGGCGCCCTCTGGAGCTGGGGCGATGGGGGAGCAGGCAAGCTGGGCCACGGCGACGAGCAGCGCCAGCTGCTGCCCAAGAAAATCGAGGCGTTGGCGGGGCAGCGGGCCATCGCTGTGTCGGCTAGAATTGCTCACAGCCTCGCCCTCACCGCCGACGGAGCCGTCTGGAGCTGGGGCCCTGGAGGCCTCCGCACTGCTGCTATCCAGGCCGCACGCCACGGCCAGCTGGGCCACGGCGACGAGCAGCAGCTGCCCAAGAAGATCGAGACGTTGGCTGGCCAGCGCGTCATTGCTGTGTCCGCTGGATCCCAGCACGACCTCGCCATCACCGCCGACGGCGCCGTCTGGAGCTGGGGCCGTGGAGGCCACGGCCAGCTGGGCCACGGCGACCAGCGGCACCAGCTGCTGCCCAAGAAGGTCGAGGCGTTGGCTGACCAGCGCGTCGTCGCTATGTCGGCTGGAGGCCACCACAGCCTCGCCCGCACCGCCGACGGCGCCGTCTTCACCTGGGGCGAGGGCGAGAGCGGCTGCCTCGGCCACGGAGAGGACCTGTCGAACCAGCTGCTGCCCAAGAAGGTCGAGATGTGGGCGCCGGGGCAGTGAGAAGCCGCGCAGATGGACAAGGAGGGGATGCTCAGGCTTCTCGCGGCGCTCTCAACGAGGAGAGGATTCGGTTCGGCGTCACGGCGGGGCCGAGCCCGGTGCGGCAGCGGTGGCGGCGGAGGCGGGGGAGGACGTGGCTGGTGTTGGCTGAGGCTGTCGCCGAGGCGGCGACCGCCGAGGCTGTGGCGGAGGCTAGGGGAGGGGGTGGAGGCGGCGACCGCCGAGGCCAATCGGTCGGCCGTGGCAGCTCAAGCTGATGCGGCGGCTCGGCGTTCGCCCATACACGGAGGGGGGGGAGGAGCGGGGCAACACAGGGAGTGGAGATATATTCGAGCGAACGAATAAAAGAAAACAATTTTCTGAACAACAAGGCGCTCATCACCACTCGTTTGTTGCACTCTCTCTCAAGCATGCTCACCGTTCCGCCGCGCCCGGGTAGGTTTTGCCGATTTTGCCGATTTTGCCACCAAGAAGTAACATAAATAAAAATCTCTCTCTCTCCCAAGAAGGCACTCTCCGACGCGCTTTGATTTAATAATTTGATTTCCGTGAGGCAACTGGTATCCCGTACCACTTTTTGATTAGTGCAGGCATAGGGTTTGATTAGCCAACGCCAGGCTTCAACCCAATGGACCTAGTGTGGCGTCGAGGCCCGCACTGTCTGGACATGCGGGCCGCGGCTGACAGAACGGCGGGCTAGGCATTGAGAGCCCAGGAGTTTTAATTGGTAAACCCTAATTCGCCCGCCGCTTTATAGGATCCGCAGATGATCTCTGATGGGGGGGCGTACCAGCTGGCATCCATCATGGAGCACTTTGGATTTCGCTCTTCTCCACCATCTGTCTAGGGTTGATTCCGCATTATGGACGGGACCCCTCGATCGCCCCCCTCGATCGCCTCGCCCTCCCTCACTCGTGTGTTCATCGGAAGGGGGGGGGGGGGGTCATAACAAACACCGTACCAGGATCGAGGTGCACGCCGGCCCGCCGAGGGCCGAGGCGGTGCCGTCCCCCCTCTCCATCATCTCACTGGGAGACGTCGGAGGCGGTGGCGTGTGACCGCCGCGTCGTGCTAAAAAAGGATCTTGTTTTACGATCACCACGATCAGGATGGGCCGAACAGGTTCCTCAGCTCCTCAGTTCCTCACTCGGTTGAGCTTCAGAGACCTCTGGCCTCTCTCCCCCCCTCACCTTCGGCTCATGTGGACTCGAACCACCGCCGGGATGGAAGCCGTTCCATCTGAGACTGAGACAATTCCACCTCGGAGAGATGCTGTCGGATGCTCACTTATTAGCCCGACCGGCCGACGCCGTGTGTGTTTTGCGGGGCGAGCGCGAGCGGGGGGCGTCGGCGAGCCGGAGCGCCGGAAGAAGGGGGTTCGGATGGCTGCGGGCACTTGAGCCCTGGCCCTGCAGGGGAGCGCAGTAAAGAGACAAGAGAGCATTCGAGTACTGAGTATACTGACGAAACAATAAAAACTGACACCCTGGGGAGGACAGGCGCCTCTTACGTCGCCTCTCCTTGCTTCCACTGCCAGTGCGCACTGCACCACAATTTGCATCCGGCTCACGTACGTCATACCTCCCAGCATGTGCCTCCCCCCCAGCCTCGCGCCGTACATATGCACATGCTCACTCCACGGAGAACGGGACGCGCACCTGCACATTCCTCCTCAGCGGCATGGCGTTGGGTGGGAGCCCGTCCATTCTGATGGTCATTGAGCCGCGCGTCGGCGAATGGATTGCCACGCTGCAGCCGGTGCGGGACCACCCGTGAGCGATGCCACCCTGCTGCTCGGCAGAGCCGTTTGTGAGGATGGCGTTCGTCACAAAGCCGCACGCCAGCACGAGATGTCCTCGCCTCGGGTCGTTCATGACACTTTGGCACGCCTCGCAGTTGCGTGGGGCATCGCCTTGCATCCACGCGACTTTCGTGGTGTTTTCCGGGTCCGCGCCCTTTGTGCGGAGCAGGACAAACCCCAGTGGGAGGACGCTGAGCGGAAACTCGACGGCCTTTGCAGCAATGCTCTGGACAGAGTAGTGGAGCAGGCTGCATTTGATGAACCATGAGCACGCGAGCAGCATTTCCGTCCTCACGCCCTCCGGCAGGTAGTCGTCACCTGCTCTCAGCGCGGCATCGAGCTCGTGCCAGCCTGCCGATTGGCTTCGCGACGCGACCTTGATGCGCTCGAGCAGGCTGCTCACCGGAGCGCCCATCGACAGCAGCGCTGGGACGTCGAAGCGATCAGCGAGGAATGCGGGTGTGCAGACGCGTCGAACGGAGAGCCGCCAAGAGTCGCATGCCGCCTGAGCGGACTTGAGTGCCGGCAGGTCCAGGTGCGACACGATGGCGTCGAGAAGCTCGTCTGGAAAGTCGGTGTTGAGAACCTCCTTCTGAGAGTCAGCGGCGGGCTCTCGGCCAGCCGCGGTTGCGAGAAGCTTCAGCCCTAGTCGCCGTTTGACGAATCGCGCGGTCGCTACTCGTCCACCGAGCAGCCACCAGACCGGCACAAGGAGCAGGAGTGCCTGCAGCAGATAGCCAGCATTCATTGTGCCCAACCCCTTACGCACTCTTCACATAAACGCACAACTCCGGACCCAAGACGCACAAGCACAGACAGTCGAGAAGGGGGAGAGACAGCAACGACAGTCAGAAGTCAGCGCTGGGTCCCAGGAAGGCGAATGCGATGACGGCCTCTAGTGTGAGCTCTAGCTAGTGAGCTCATACGCACGCCGGCAGATCGCGACTATATACAGCTAGTTAAGAGCCGACCGACCCTCGCGTCCGGTGCTCACCGACGGCCGGGCGGGCCGCCCGCCCACGCGCCGCCTACGCGCAGCGCGTGCGCCGCAAACTCGCCCGCCGACAGCGCTGGCCAGTCTCCATCGGCCGTCGCGAGAGGCCTGCCCGGCTGTCGCCGCGGGGCCCCCACGAACACCACGCGTCGGATGCGGTGCCGCGCGAACTCGCGCGCAAAGTGCACGCCCCACGCCCGCCGCAGCGTCGTAGCGAAGTAGGACCGCGCCTCCTTCGCGCTACGCGCGCCGATCCGCCTCCAGTGCTGCTTGGATGCCGACTCCACCACTCTTCACACAGGGGCTCTAAATAAATAAATAAATACAACGGACACGCCAAACGAGGGGTGGGAGAAGGACAGGGTCCCCACCTGCACAAGCAGGATCTTGTAGGACGATCAGGGACACAGGGGAACGGGAGCGGGACACAGGGGCTCTCACAGCATGCTGTCCGGTGCAGGTTTTCTTTGCCCCCGACGCCGCCGCCTTCACCGCCTCCCACCCCGCTGCCTTCGCGTACATCCCATGTCCCTTCTCCTCGCTCTCGCCGCCTGCTCGCAGCCCGGCCTGAAGGCCTGCGGCGCGGGCTTCGACCACTTTCCATTTTGCAACCACTCGCTGCCGCTCGATCAACGCGTCTGGGACTTGGTCAGCCGGATCGACGACAGCGTCAAGCCCAACCTCCTCACCGCGCGCGGCCACCGCATGCACACCGGCGGCCGGCAGGCGCTGCCGAAGCTGGGCGTGCCCTCCTACTACTGGGGCTCAAACTGCCTCCACTCGTCCATGTTTGCCAACTGCACGACCGACGGGCGGTGCAGCCAGTCGTTTCCCTCCAACACGGCATGGGCGGCCACCTTTGATCGGCGGCTCATGCGGCAGATGGCCGCGGTGGTGGGGCGTGAGACCCGGGCGGGCTGGAACTTGGGTTCCTGGCTCGATGACGGCCTCAATGGTGCTGGCCTCGACTGCTGGGGTCCCGTGCTAAACATGAACCGCGACCCGCGGTGGGGCAGGAACGGCGAGGGCGGCGCCGAGGACCCGTACCTGATGGGCCAGCTTGGGACGGCGTGGACGCGCGGGCTGCAGCAGGGCGACCCGGAGATTGCGCGCGAGGCCGCGAGCCAGTACACGCTGGTGGCCGTCACGCTCAAGCACTTCGACGCCAACTCACTCGAGGACAGCGATGGCTTCACGCGGCACACCGTCGACGTGAACGTCAGCCGGCAGCTGCTGACCGACTACTACTGGCCGGCCTTCCGCGCCCCGATCCGCGAGGCGGGCGCCCTTGGCGTGATGTGCAGCTACAACGCCGTCAACGGCCTGCCCGCCTGCGCGTCGCCCGTGATGAAGGCTGCGCGCGAGGCGTGGGGCTTCCAAGGGTACGTCACCTCGGACACCGACTCGGTCGCGGACGTGTGGAGGGCGCACCGCTACAAGCGCACCGCGGAGGAGGCGAGCTGCGTCGCCCTCCGCGAGGGAGGCACTGACGTGGACTCGGGGAACACTTACTACCACTCCCTGCTGAGCGGCGTCCGCTCCGGGCGCTGCTCCATCTCGGACGTCGACCGGGCGCTCTTCAACACCTTCCGGGTCCGCTTCAAGCTCGGCCTCTTCGACCCAAAGGCAGGCAACCCGTACTGGCAGCTCGGCGAGGCGGACATCGGCACCGCCGCGTCGCGAGCGCTCAACCGACACGCGGCCGCCGCCTCGCTCGTCCTGCTTCAGAACCCGACCTCTCGGCGCGGCGGCGGGCCCATCCTGCCGCTCGCTCCGGGCAAGCGGATCGCCGTCCTCGGGCCGCACGCCAACGCGACCCGCGCCCTCATCCAGGTCTTGCCCTGCACCTCGGCGACATCTCGGCCGCATCTCGGCTACACCTCAGCAGACAGGTTCCCCGTCCCACGGCTCTCGACCGTGCCTCACCCACGGGTGGACACACCACAGGTGGACACGGGCAAGGTCTGCGCCAGCGGAGGCTTCGAGTGCGTCACCTCGCCGCTCGCGGCCCTCGCGGACCGCAACCCCGACGCGGGTACGGCGTACGCCGAGGGCTGCGACGTGATCCTCATGGGGCGCCAGGGCTTCTCGGCGGCGCTCGCTGCGGCGGAGGCGGCCGAGGTGGTTGTGCTCGGGCTGGGCGGCACCTCGTGCGGCTCGTGGGGCGCGGGGCGCTGGGGGAAGCGCGACAATGCGCCCCGCCACTTGCACTGCCGCCCCGCCAACGCGACCAACGGCATGCAGTGGGCCGAAGGCGAGGCGCACGACCGCACCTCCATCGACTTGCCAGGCGAGCAGCATGCACTCGCGGCGGCGGTGCTCGCGCTCAACAAGCCGACGGTCCTCTTCCTGCTCAACGGAGGCATGGTGTCCGTGGCGGAGGAGCTCCGCCACGCGATCAACCCGCCGGCGGTCGTCGAGGCCTTTTACCCGGGAGCAGAGGGCGGCGAGGCCCTCGCGGACGCGCTC